CTCTCCTCATAGGACTTGTGCTCAAGTCCCTTCACCAGCCTCGTTGCTCTTCTCTGGACCCGCTCCAGCACCTCAATGTCCTTCCTGAACTGAGGGGCCCAGAGCTGAACACAATACTCAAGGTGTGGCCTCACCAACACAGAGTACAGGGGAAGGATCACTTCCCTGCTCCTGCTGGCCACACTGTTCCTGATGCAGGCCAGGATGCCATTGGCCTTCTTGGCCACCTGGGCACACTGCTGGCTCATGTTCAGCCTCCTGTCGATCAGCACCCCCAGGTCCCTTTCTGCCTGGCTGCTCTCCAGCATGTTAAAATTCATCCTTTTCAAACTAGGTATATAAACATTCAAAAATCTTATCATCTTAATACCAGGTTCTTCAACATTTTTTTTTTGTGAAGTCATGCATTTCAATACAAATTTTTGCATGTTTTGATGGTTTCAAAGAAATAAGCCTAGCTGCTTATATGGTTAGTGTGTGATGGGCAAGCTGCATTCTATGCCACAGTAAGTCTCTAAATTGGTAATGATTGTTCAAAACATTTCTTTACCAATTTTAGCCTGTATTTTAAGCCACTTTATCATGCATATGTCTTTAATGCTGTGTGCACTGTGGTGCTGATGAAAGATCTGGCCTTTCTGTTTTACAGATTTTACATTATTCCACTTTCTGCAGAGGTAATGCCCAGAAGCATTTAGAAGGGAAAGGAGTTTACTGTAGTGCATATATAGGTCCTTTATGGGTTCCAAGTACAGTGTTACCCTTTCTATGAAAAGCTTTCTCAACAGAATCAGCGTACAAATGTCCATGGGTTTTCTTAACTTAAGCAGACTGATATTTCCTAACAGGGTTTTTCATTTGTTACAGCTAAGATTGTAGAGTGAATCAATCAGCCTTTTAAAAAAAAAAAAAAAAGTAATGGTATGTTCTACGACTCATATAAATAGGATTTATATTTTAGGAGCCTTTGGGTTTTTTGCTATTTTGACATAACCACGTATTTAAAATGAGATTTCCAGAGATCAGATGTGTCATTTGAAAATGCGTTTTTACTGGAGGTGTGCTGTTCTGTTTCAGCTCTCATGATTTAAGGTATGAAGATAATACAAAACTACTCCATCATGTCATTTTTAATTTATTTGACTTTTTTTTTTTTGATTGCAGAGTAATTTCTTTAGACTTTTAGCCTCCAGAAGAGGAAATCTTGTGTACATGGCACCTTGAGACAAAATCAAAACTTGCTTTTGACTATGTACTTTCTAAACTATTTGTCCAGAGAAAGATTTTGTTATCAAAGTTTGACATATTTACTCTGTAATCATATTCTTTCTGCATTTTGTCTCTTTCATTACATTTTAAGTGATAAATCAGCAGGGTACTCATCTTCACTGATTTTCTTGTGAAGCATGAAATGTTCTGTAGATTACTCATTCTAACATTTACACAACTGTGGTGGATTAGATCTTCTGTTTCTGGAAGAGCTCTTTCAGCTGCTGTTCAGTTGTTGCTTCTTTCTGTTGCATCAGCTCCTTGGCTCCTTTGGTCACTCCCCAGCCATCTGGCTTTGACATGGAAGGACAATAAGGTCTGCCTGAAGCAGGCTTCAGGTTCTCCCAGTATTCTTTTCTTGCCCTAAGGAGAGTAAAGCAAATTCAGGTGTTTTTTTTTTTTTCTTAGCACCTCACAATACTGAAGGAAATATGGCCTAAACGACCATTGCAAAGGGTCATCTAACTATATTTAAATATAGAGGAATGACAGCATGGCATGAAATGATACGTGCTTAAAAAGTATCTTTAAGGTATTCTTTCCATCCTTGAAAGGAATACCATAAGCCACTCACGATTAGAAGCTGATCTATAGTACCCTGTCAGTTTTTCTTCACTTTCATTAATTATTTTCACAAATTACTTTTACAAGAGCTCCTCTAGTACTCCACCTGTTTCCCTGCTCTGAGATCAGCTTTAATTCTTTAAAATTATTAACACACAGAATGCTTACAATGATATTTAGACCTCCATATGAGTTAAGCCAGTCTGCTGCATGGAACAATATAAGCCTTTGAAACAGGTGTGTTGGTGTGCTTCCCAGGTCAGATATACACACCTTGCTCTGACCCAGGGTTTGGTATGCATGCTCAGGTTATCGCCCCAGCTACCATGTTTCTCAGAAGCTTCTGGCAAAAATCCTCTTTCAGGTGCCAGCTCCTCAGCTATTGCTCGGATGTGATATGGCTCAAATCCACAGCAGCCTCCAATGAAACGAATCCCTAAGTCATAGGCCTTTCTTGCATATTTTTGAATGTCCCATCTGGTTAAAATTCTTGGCTCCAGACCTGCAAAGACAGTCATAATTTAAGTTTCCACCACGGTCCATTTCAACACAGTTTTTGTAAGAAATCATGTAGTTGAAACACTTGCACTCTGTTAGCTAAAATGGTTGTAGATGTAGATGTATGTGTTTGAACTGTCTGACCTAGAATTAGCTTTTTGATTGTGCTGCTCTGCTGACCTGTCCTTGTTAGCATTTTTGCCCTTGCAAAACAGCACCTAATATCTTCTGAGACTTATCACAGGCTTGCCATTCTGACAGAGTTCTTAGCTGAAGTATTGGAGTATTTTCAATGTTATGGCTACATTTCCTAATTAACAAGCAATACCTGGGAAATCTGATTACCACAGACTAATCTGTGAAAGGATTCTATCAGTCTATCTGAATAGGAATAAGCCTGCTCATTATTCCTCAGGAATGCTTATTACATTTTTTTCCATGATCAACTAATGGCTGCCAATTGTTACAGCTGGGATCTGTAGGTATTTCTTAGCCCATTACTTAGTTACAGTCCCAGTCATAAGCACTTGCTGCCTTAAACCATGTCATTGCTTGTGAAAAGTTCTGTGCATAGGTAAGTTAGGATGCAATCTTTAGTTTAAACCCTTCTCTCTGTTGCGGGTTGTGGTGAGCAGAGTGATGGGATAACAGAGCTGAGAGGAAGGACATGTGGAAGGAAGGGAATAGAGAGTGAAAAGATCAAGAAAAATCACATCTCAAAGGGCAGGAGGCACAAGACCAGGATAACTGTAAAGAAAGGACCAGGGACTGAAGAAGAAACTTTAGGGCATAAAAATGTGAGAATGAAAGAATAAAAATCCTCCCACTCCTTAATACACATCTGCAGGAAATGAATCATCATGGTTATCGGGCAAGCTTTTGCACTGTCTGTGCACTGAACACTCCACTGGGCAAAGAAGCTGTCAGAAGGTAGTAAGGCTCCAGCTATATCGTAGGGAGGTGGGATTCTTCTCCCTGTGTCCTCTCCCAAAAATGCCTAAAATGCAAGAAGATGGTAAAAAGCAGATCCATTCTAAGCCCACTGTGTAGTTAAGAAATGGATTCAGAAATTTAAAAGCAGAAGGAAGAAAATTAAATATTCTTAAACAGAAAATTATTGGTCTTAGAGGGAAAGACTGGACAAAGTAGGTGGTCTAATATCACAAGGAAAACAGATTAAGCTATCTTAGAAACGTGTTAAAATAAAAACAAGCTCATGTACAATGCTGCAGATCTGACAGAAAGCATCAGAAGCAAAAATTCATTATTTCCTTGTCTCTCATATATCATGAAAATGCTAGTGCAAAATTTATACAAATGATCAACATTAAGAATGCAGCATTGTGCACTTGATTTATACCTGTATAAGCAACAAAACTCCAGGAGAACAGTATAGAGTGTTTCCCTGTCTTCTCCACCACCCTGTCACAATCCATGTGACCTAATGAGATGCATCTGAGGGTCCAGAGGATCTGTCAGATAAAGTGGCTAAGCCACCATCCATCATTTTTGAAAACTCATGACAGTCTGGTGAAGTTCCCAGTGACTGGAGATGGGGAAACATAACTCCCATATAAAAAAAAATAAAAGGAAAACCTAGAGAACTACAGATGGGTCAGTCTCACCTCAGTGCCCAACAAGACCATGAATCAAATCCCATGGAAAACAGGGTAAGGCACGTGGAAGATAAGGAAGATAAGGATTTGGTGGCTGCCAACGTGGCTTCTTTGAAGGCAAATCATGCCTGACAAACTTGGCTGGCTACGATGGGGTTACAGTGTTGGTGGAGAAGGGGGGAGCGACTGATATCACCTTCCTTGACCTCTGCAAAATATTTGATACTGTCCCACACCAAATGGTTTTCTCTTAAATGGAGAGACATCTTCTGTTTTCCCCATCTGTCAATGCTTTTCTTTTCTTGGCTTTATTCAGAATTAAGTATCTATAACCTAATAGTTGAAATTTTTAGTAAAAAGAGATTTAAATTTTCATCAGTTTTTGATGAAAAGTTTGTAACCTGTTCCTAGATTTGCCCCCTCTATATATCTACTTTTAAGATAACTGGGTGCTTTCAGTGACTGGGACATTTCTTTCTAAAATATTGTCCTTATTTAATTGGTGACCTTTCAGAGAAACTGCAGTAACATAGAAGGGAAAACACAGGAAAATAGATAGTTCTACAGAAAAAATAAATACTGCTGGCATCTAGACACTGGAGTTTGCCAATACAACATTGCTAATGCTTTCCTTGATACTGAGATATTGTTGGCCTGTGCAGAGGTTATGTACTTTTCAGATATCTAAATATCTCTCTGTCCATACTGCCATTCACAAGAAACAGTTAATTTGGTTAGGTTAACAATGATTTACCAAACAACTTATCTGCTGTCAAGTAAACTGTTGCTACTTCTTGGTATTGAAAACATTCACAAAATGAGTCTTCGCCAATTATTCATGAAATTTCTAAATGCTGAGATCTCATACAGATTGCTTAAAACATACAATCCAAGAGTGAATCTTTCAATTCACTTGATTGCTTACTGCATCTGTTTGATCTCTTTTTGCTTGCAGTCAGAGGACTTATATGAAAAAATGAATAGGATAAATGGTTTCTAACACATTTTAAACATCTCAGAATATTTTTAGAACTCAGACACGTTATTACCATTTAATGAATTCTCAGGCTCACTATTCTCTTTCCATCATTTATATAAAGAAAGAAATTTTAAGAAAATCAATGAACTCCCTAAAAATCACATCCATGTCTTAATTTTTTTCTACAAATTCGAGTTGCGAATGTTTAATACCATACAGTTGGATCTTGAAAAGAAAGGTGTATGTTATTGGAAAATGAAAGAATTTTTCTGATCAACCTTAAAATGTTTAAGCTGATTCTGTCCTTATGTTAAAGGGATCCTTTGCACCGCAAGAGAAAATAAGCCTAAATACACAAGGCTTATATACACAACAGATGGCAGAATCTTTCAGTTTTTGTAGAGTTTCTCCTGAGCATAGTTGTGATGCCTACAAACTGACAATCTGTTAGCCACATTGAAGTCCCCTTTCTGGTTTCTCTCTAATCTCACTTAAATTACACAGTAACACTCACAAGACTGAACTATTATGCAATAATCATGCACCTACATCCAGTTCTGCATATGCACTGTACATTAAAATCCTTACACGGGTAAACATAGGCCTTGTGGGATAGTAAGGGTTTTTTTGAGTATTTCCTGTTATTCGTTTCTTTGGACTGTTTATAGCTGTCCTGAACATGGTTCTATAGCACTGGGAAGAAGTAAGTATTTAACTGAGTTTAGACTGTGGCATTTGAACTGTTTTCATCGTAATTTCACTTTCAGTCACATGCTGTGATACTAGCGAAGCATTGTCACTATGTGGATGATCTTTAATCCAATACTATACTGTAATCTGTCTGGAAAATGCCAGAAGGTAACTGGGACTCATCCTATTGTATAGAAGGACACTTTGCAGCTTCAGCTTTACTAAAAGCTGGGGAAAAAAACAAAAGAGGAACATACAATAAAACAAAACCACAAAAAAAACCAAACAACAACAACAACAACAACAAAGATACCCTTGTCTTACCAAAGGGAAATTCTGGAAGATCAATAAAACCCTGCTTTCCACAATCAGGTGTATGGAAAGCAAGAGGTTGGGACATCAGGTGGGCTTTCAGTTTAGCAGCCTGCAAGCCCTCTTTCATCAGTTTCACAGTTTCTAGGGAAGTTTCTGGATCAAAATGGCAGTTGACTCCAACAATAGAAGCACCTAGGAAGAGGAAAATAACTTCAAGTCACATCTCCACAGGAAGTAGAAGGGGAAAGTTCTGAGCCACAGCAGTCCAGTAGCAGTGCAGTCCATCTTTACACCAGTGTTATGAAAACAAGGCATCTGTGTTAGAGCTCAACTCTCCTGAGGCTGATCATCGGATTTGCATCTCAGTTGCACTCCTCTTTATTTTCCTGATGATGAAGGACATCTTCCCCCCTTCTATAGCTGCTTTTCTTACCAGTGCTTAATCAGTGAAGTCTGATTATGTAGAGCCACACATGCAAATAGTTTGCAGGTTCCTTACACAAGTTCTACCTTTGGATTTTAACTCTGATTGAAAGGAAAAGAGTAGTTCCAAACAGATATAATAAAACTGTTGTACCATCACTCATCATGCCCCTACTTAGTTTCTTCTGCCTTTCCCCTTGTCCTGGGAATAGGCAAAATTATTAATTTTTTCATCCTCTTAATTCTTTCATCCTGGGTTTGAACTGTGCTTAATACATTTCAAAAATACATAAACAGAGAATCAAAAGTGGCTTTGGATCCTGCATGTGATTCTATAATTTGGGGCTGGGGCCGTAATGAAATTTAAGTAGGTTTAGGATTTTGCTGTATTCAGTATCAGCTGTCTGTGGCTATTGCTCCTGGCCATTGCATTCTGGTTATCAAGGATTTCATAGCTGCATTTTCATCTGTTTTTACAAGATCACTTTAGTAAAGTACACATAAAAACTTTACTGCAGAATCAAAACTTTTACCAGATATAATTGGGAAGCTACCTATTTCAGATACACATTCATTTATCTCAATAATTAAGGACTTTTCTCTGTTCCCTGCTTTTAAAGGGCATATTAAGAGAGATTCTTACCAGCCTTTACCAGCTGGACAGCACATTGTCCAGGGGACACTCCATGCATGTCTCCTTCTGGACCAATGCACATTGTAGCTGCAACTGGCTTTCCAGATTCTTTTAGAACTTCGACTGCCCACACAGCCTCTTCAACATGTTCAAAATACTGAAAGAAATTAAAACCAGACAACTTTAGTTTCTTGGCAATGAAGCATGAACACATTAATCCAGACCCCAAATTCACCATCAATACAATGACTTGATTATTTTCTGATTTATACTAACATAACTCAATGGAGTTCACTGACCACTCAGTTAAAAAAGGATTTTTAAAAGTCAGTGAGTAAAAGTAAGTTAAACATAATGATAATTTTGTTTCAGAATAAGACTGCCCATACAGGAGCTTAATCATGGATTAATCCAAGAATTATTTTAACCTAGAAAAGTCATCTTAGATTACTTATCACGTATGGAAGAAGTAGAAACAAGTTAAGATCCCATTAATATATCCTCTTTGTACAAGTATAGAATTTTACTTGACTGAGGTAGAAACTTAGGTTTCAAGGTCCTATTTTAGGACACCTGCAGGTGATGGTGTGCATTTAGAAAAATATCTGATACTACTGGGACAAAAGCACAGCAGAAAATTTTAAAGGCAGAAGCAATATATAGTTGTTCCCCCTAAAGTAAACTAGACATCTTAAAATTCAACATTGTGACAGTTGAAGGCAAGTGCTTTTTTAAAGATTTACCTCTGCAATTAGGAAGTCCACATTCTTCTTCATAAAGACCTCTAGTTGTTTTCGAAAGGCTGCTTTAACCTCTGTTTTATCCTTGCAGCTTAAGTATGATGGTGTTTGACTGACTCCTCCAGCCACCAAAGCATCACCTTCATTAGCCACTTCTCTTGCAATGTCACAAGCAGCTTCATTCACTTTCTGGCACTGTGTGAATATAGATTATGTCAATTTTACCTGGTCAAAGATATGTATATAATTTCAAAGCAAAATAAGGACAAAACAAGTCAAAAGCCATAACACCTTTTTCATATTCTTTTATAACTTTAATGGTTTTTAAAATAATATTGATTAGGAAGATTCTTTAAGAAAAATAACAAACACTTGGAAAAAAATTCTTGCTGCCTATAAGTTACCATATCATCAAATACTAAAAAAACCACATTACCTTTAATACATTTTACACAAATATTCTGTAAAAACTAAGTATTTGGTGTGAAGTAGAATTTCTTGGCCTATTAGAAAACAAGTTAGTTACCTTTAAGTGTGTGTGCTTTTATTCTGACATTTGTGGATGTAAAACAAAATATATGGTAATTTCAATTGATTTTTAAAAGGTATTTTCATATTTTGATACTTTTAAAAAATTCAGATATAATACACAGAATTATTTAGGGCATTTTTAAAAAGATATTAATTATTTGATGTTAAAGTTAACAATTTAAGAAAAGTAGAGGGAAAGTTATCAGTATTTCCGATTGATTAATTAATCAATCACCTAAGCTGAAAGACAGATTCTCTCTATAAATAAATCAGGACGACCAGAACAGCTTTGGAAACAGAGGTTAACCTGGGGGAAAAAAAAAAGATTTGGAGAAAATCTATCCCATTATTTGGGACAGATAACAAGTACTGATTACAGCAGGTTTCTCTGCAGTCCATGGACTAATTAGAATCTACATAGTTTTCTCTCAGCTGAAGTTTTCCATGGCTGCCTTAAAAGATGTAGCTGATTTTTAGGGCTATTGCTGATACATTGTCTTCCCTTGTGCTCAGGTACATGTTTGAGAACTCTGGGAGGTGGAACCACAAACCACTTAAATCCTGAAGGAACCTGCTTCTTGAACTAGCAGGAAATCAATTTGGAAAGGTTTGATGCAATGCATTCCCAATACCAGGTGCTCTCCAGCCCTTATAATTTTGCATGGGAGCAAGAATTGCAGCATGGCTTGTTCCAGAGGTACGCAGTTTCTGGGACTACCACTTCCGACATTTCAGTATTGCATCTATTGAATGTAAAGGTACAGCATTTCAAATAAATTTGATCATAACATTTTGTTATGACCTCATTTAAAATCTTTCCCTAGTGTCCAGATTGTTCTAATTTCTGACTGAGGCTATCAAAGTACAAAGATATTCCTTCCCCCCTGAGTCCTGGGGAATTTTCTGTATTTTGTGGAAGTTAAAATGTCCAATAGGACCAAAGGGAAAGGATCAGAGAAACCCCTCAGTGGCAACTATTCTACTCTCAAAGGAGCTACCTAGAAATGCTTATGCCAGAAATCCCACTGGACCTTGGGCCTGCATCTACTGAACACATCCAACATCCTACAACTCCTTTTTGCAGGGGGTAAAAAAACACCAGCATGGTACTTCTGATGATGTAACAGATTACCCTTACATGGGACAAGGGGAATATTAACCACAGTGTATAGCTTGGGTTTTTTTAGTTGTTACTTCATTGAAGAAATGATTCTTAAAAACATTTTGTTCTAATTAGCCAGTCATTATTCTCTAGGATTCTTCACCATTTTTGCAGCTGATTCATTTCTCTGGATGTTAAAGCATTTTTTTTTTCTTTTTTTCTTTTTCACTACTTTTGCCTTCTGTGCGTTTAGTGCTCCCTAAAGTCATTGTATTAAAACTCCAGTAAACCAATCTCCTCAGATGGGAAAAAATACAATGTGGGCATTCTCTTTCCTCTCTTCATCCCTGACCTATTTTGTTTGGGTAGGAAGGGGGTTGTTGCTAGGTTGGTGAGGTTTTTGTATATGTGCTTTGTGAGGGGGTTTTGTTTGGTTGGTTTTGTTGTTGTGTTTGTTTGGGATATTTTGTCCTTCAACCTCATCTTTCTTGCTAAAACTGTTATGAAAAACTGTGGAAGTACTTGATAATCTCTCTACTAAACCTTTTGAAATTAATCAATTCATTTCACATCTCCATCAAAACTGGTTTACTCACACTTATTTTCTCAGCTACATAATTGCCCCTGTTCTCTAGTTTGTCCTCACTGGCATAAAAGGTGAATGTCTGCAGAACATTGGATCCAGCTCTGAGGAATTCTCGGTGAAGCTGACGAACTGCAAAACAAGAGACAAAGAAGAGATGTCTGGTACAGTTATTACTGTGTTACCCCAAAATCAAATGTTTATTGATGTAACGTAAAATAAGTGATAGTGTGTTTAGTAGAAGAGCCATTATGAGAATGCAGAAGCAGTACCCTAGTATTTGTAGAACTTCTGTCTTCTCGCTCTCAGAACATTAGGTAGAAAATTTTCTCCTTGATTTTTCTTTGCTAAGAATGACTAAAGATTCTATTTTATCAGCGGATTCAGCTTTGCCTACCACCTTGCCTGTCTTCTATTTTGTGCAGTCCTTCAGACCTCCCAGGTTGCCTGAGCAGGAGCAGAACTGGAACTGTCAATTGATTTTACATGTATATTCACAGAATAAGAATTTTAATAATTTCTAGAACACTAGTGATCCTGTAAAACAGAGGTAAATGCTTGACATGTTATAGCAAATATAGGAATAATTTATTCCCTAGATACACAAGTAGTTTTTTCCAGTATATTAAATAGTTATTCTTTAGTACACGAGATACTTACTTCCTACATGCACTAGATCACTGCAGTTTCTGTGGCAGATGTTTAGTAAAGCTTTCCTGAAGACCTGGTTTGTCATAACTCATTGTCTACAGATAGTCTGTGTCATTAAGAAAATATTGAATTCGTCATGAGTATAAAATTACTCCCTTCTGCTGCAACAAACACAGCTTTCCACATCAGAAAAATTCAAATCAGCAGTCTGAGTTGCTAGAATCAACCTGCATACATGCAAGTTATGTTTGCTTTCACTGAAGGATCAATGAAAGTGTAGTGTCCCTTGCTTTTCTCTAGTAGTACAGTATTTAATTTCTAATTACAGCCTTGGGTAACCACACTGTGATTTAACACAGTGCTCCTTTTCTCACTAAGATCTTTCCAGGAACATAGGTTACAGAAAAGCTACATTCCAAAAAGTCCCTGAGATGAGCTCAGTTGGTTAGAGCCTGGTACTAGTAATGCCAAGGTTGTGGTTTCAATCCTTTGTGGGCCATTCACTTAAGAGTTGGACTTGATGATCCTTGTAGGCCCCTTCCAAGTCAGAATATTTTGTGATTCTGTGAAAAGCCCCTGTAATCTGCATGAACTGCTGGGATTAAATTTAATTCTTACACTTTTATGGAGAGACAAGGATTCATAATTCAGGGAGTATTCTTTTCCCATTACAATAGGCTACTGATCCCAAATATGTGGGCTGTCTCATGTTTCTAGTGCTCTGTAATTTCTGTTTCTATTCTCCCCAGTGAGAAAGCATTGATGAAAACCAGTCAGGAAATAGGAAAAGGAAAAAAAAAATCTACAAATATTTTCATAAATACTCTATGATATTCAATAGTAGACCAGATTTGTTTACCACCATGGTTGGTGGTCTTTAAATATGGTTCTTGCTTTCCTAGAAGAATGCCTGGGATTTGTGTGAATAATGATGGTGATGTAAGTATTCAAATGAAACACAATCTAACATATGGGACTAAAGAACTTCATACCCCAAAATCTCAGATATGTGAACAGGAGATTCTTGAATGGGTCTACAGTTTGAGGGGAAAAAATAGTGTTGTAAGTATCAGCCTGAATCTCATTTAACCCCAGGCAGATTGTTTTTTACCAAAAGAATGAGTACACTGTTGTTGTTATCAAACCTACAGCATGATGCACAATCAAAACCCCAAACCTCTCTGTAATTACTTGTGTGACTTCCAGCATACTAGTGAAACTCTGTTTCTCTCCAGCCTTTGAGAAATGGGGCTAACAGCCACATATGAGACTAAACGATCGTTAATAATATTACTTTGTTTTTAATCCCTTGCTGTATTCTCAGAACTTTCCACCTTTTCCTTCTTTCCTTATAAAAACAACAAACTCAGGTAGTTTGTAAGGTTTTTACATCCACTGGCTCAGCCAGTTGCTCCTTGTGTTCTTCACACCTGCTTTCAAAATAACATGACCCTTGAGCATGCAGAAGCAAAAAAGCAGTAATGAAAAGGAGGCAGCCCCCCTGCACAAAAAGCAATTAACACATTTCCACTGAAGGGTGTATTTATAAATAGCCTGTAAGAGACATGTGGAGAGGGTCAAGGGCTTTTCAGGTGCAAAGTAACAAGCAAAGCGGAAATAAAGAGCATGGGATAAGTGCTATGAGTTGTAAGTTGGAACATGCAGAGGCAGACAAAGGTAGAGATGGAGAGAAACAGAGAGAGAGATAATGGAATTCTCTTTGGGCTGAGAGTCAGCAAATTAGATCATCAACTTTTAAACTTTTGCTGGAGCTCTGCACTATCTAAAGCTATGCGTAACCCTAAATTAGGCATGCTACACCTAAGTGACACTTGAAGGTTGAGAAGAATAAGATTGAATGAGTAGGTAAGGTATACAGAGCAACGTAACAGAGAGTTAAGATATCTCTTCCTACCCTCCTCTTCCTTCTTCCCATGTGTAGAAGAAAAAGACTAATTTGGAAGGGCAAACACAGAACAAAGAAAATTTTTTCCCCCAGGGTATTCTGAATTGGCTTGTGGGATTAACTGCACATCATATTATTAGTGCAAATGGTTTCTTGCAATGAAGCATTCGTGGCTAGGCTTCGTGAACGAAGATTTGAGAAGGGCTCTACCCCCGCTTGCTACAAGCGCACTGATGGATAAAAAGGCCAATGCAAGATAGATAAGTTTGGTTGCAGAAGGTACAGCGGAAAGACTCCCCAGATGATATCAACAAGACACAATGAATCATACATAAATAGTTAACAGCATCTGCTTCTGCACTATTTATGCTGAACACTATAATCTTTGTGCTGGAAGGCATGGAATGGTTGTTCATTTTTTTCTCCATCCACTTTCAGAGTGTTACTCCATTATATGTTTATGGCAATTTTTAGGTCCTTATGGGGTCTATCATTCCCCATTTCATAGTGGAGCCAGAAACATTAAATTACTCCCATTACAATGTTTATTAAAAACTGCTATTTCTCTGAAAGAATTAATAAACAAACCATTTTAGTTTATAAATATATGAGTCCTACAAGGACTAAAACAAAATAAAACAAAACAGATGGTTAACTGCAGAATTCTTTTTCATGAGATGTTGTAAATCATACGCTTTAAATGATCAGCTCAAGGACAGACTGGACAAATCCATGACTGAGAAATCATTTAATGTTATTAAACAAATGTAACCACATCTGTATCAAAAAGTCCCTGAGATGCAAATTATTGAAGACTGGGAGAGCATTTTGAAGACGTATCACTAGATGTTTGCACTAGTCATATAAGAATATGAATATAAAACCCAGTCAACTGCTTTTGGCTAGTGTTATAGCAAGTAAAAGGGGTAAGATGGGCATTTCCTATGCTATTCTTAACAATGTAACAGTGTCAAGGAACACTATCATTTGAAAACTACTGCAAGTTCCTGTATAGTTATTACAGAGCCAACCATGTTTACATTCACTACAGGAATACCATTTCCCAGTAAAACTGACCTGCCTCTGGGTGTTCTACAGTTGCTTCAGGAGTCCAAGGCCCAGCTTTTACATATCCCCTCTTTTCAAGAGCAAAGACAAATCCTCCATCTCCAATCACAATTTCTCCAGCATCCAAGCGCTCTAGAATACCCTGAAGAAAGCAGGAGTAAAGGTTAACAGTTACTGTTACTGGCCTTCCTTTGTCTATGTTGCCATTTTCTGTATTTGCAAAGCAGACATAAATACCTGTGGGCTACCAGAAATACTTCTGCTGTAATAGGAAAAAGTAATACATTTTTTTTTTAAATTATCTTTAAAGAATGGCACATGTGCTCTTCTGCAGCATAAGGCTTTATAATGTACACACTTATTATGTCTTTCCTTTAGTCAGTCGTACTGTATTTCAGAGATACAGTCTCTGGAAGTCAATGGTCCAATTCCATTCCCATGAAAGTAAAACAGCACCTCAAATTCTTCTGTAAAATATATGCAAAACTTCTTAAAATTAAACACTAGTATCACTAATCTCTTTATTAGCCCATTTAGCTTTTTAGCTACAAAGGGCACGTTGACAGAGTCTTACCAAAATAACTTGTGACACTAGATGGCACAACAGGCATCACAGAAAAGTAATCATGTAACATTTTCCTACCAAACAAGACACATCTCAAAAAGCTGGCCTGCAGTTCCTGATAGTCTTTTTAAAGCTAGGGTTTGCTTATCCAGATTTACAAAATCAAAGAAAATCCTGTTTGTTTTGCACAACCCTGAAATGTTTTAAGATGCTAAATTAAAAACCTTACAGCATGCTGTGATGACCCTTGCTTCTGCCTTGAGAACATATATTAATTTCACCTGAAATACATTACTTATTTTATTCCTTTCATTGCTTCATTGGCTTGTTCAAAATTTCTAATAAGTATATTGCTGTCAGAATATTTCTGCTATTAGATTGCAACCATAATTCTATTTATTTTAAAAAGTGGATGGATGAATGAATGAATGAAGACTACACATATAAGATAATGAGTACAGGAAAAGAATTTATCAAAGGTAAGACTGCAATTTCTCTCCATAGTTTTCTTGATGGCACACTGGCATTTCAGTGGATGAAATTTGAGGAACAGAAAAAAGAAAAGCCTCATGGACATAGAGCTGAGTGTGATTTTCATGCAGAGTGGAAGGGTTTTTTAACAATTAGCCTTCAACCTTTAGTAGATTTGCTTTTTTGATACTTTGTCCTTCATTAATATAATTATCTTACACCCTACATCCAGCGAAGGCAAACACTTATGATATCTCAGCCCTGGCCTTTAGGCAGTATGAGAGTATGCCTTTCCAACCAGCAGGAGCACTGTGCCAACTGTGCTAGTTTCAGTACCAAGCACAGCAATCTAAGGCTCTTGAGAGCATACCAAGCCTGACTGAGATGGTCATCATTTTTGGCTCAGGCACTGACATTGCAGCAAGATGGCAGGACTTCTCCGTGCAGTGCTGCTGTGCAGAGACTGGCCAAGTGTTGGCTTGCAAACCTCTGCATCAGATTCCATTGCACACTGTGGACTTGCCAAAATATTGACTTGATTAACTTTAAAACATTATTAAAGTGCGCAAGTTTTTATCTTTATTTCAGCAGAAATGGGGCAAAAGAATTTTAACATAAGTGTCAGGAGACTTTGTAAAGGTTGTGCTTGCAATAAACTAACTTGCAGTTGTAACCAAATGCTTCAAATGGGGCAAGAGAAAGGCACCCAAGTGATCACTGATTGAGCCCTGCTTCCCCTGCCTGCCAAAGTATCTTTTGTAGATGGAGCTTGCTTCAGAAATGTAATATCCAGAGAACAGGTGTGCAGAAAAAAAAAAATAACATACAAGCAACCTCAGGTTTTGCTTGTTAACTGAACATCAAGTAATAGACACATATTGACATCACATATAGGTATTATATTTATTATTATATTATATAAGTATAACAACTGACTTTTTTAAAAAGTCACTTATAGGGTTCAACCACAGTTTTTCTTCACAGTTCTATTTTTTTTAACTGCATTTTAAAATAATCTTCACTTTTGACACACAGAAGCAACATAAGCCATATTTAAATAGACTATGGCATCTTAATATATTGTGATACATTAAACCTAGCATTAGGGCATCTAACGGCAGCAGAGATAACTACAAAGCACAAAATACTTGATAAAAACTTATTTCCATTTTAATACAATATGAACTGACAAAGCAACTTTTTGCAAAGTTTATTATGGGTCTGAAATTTTCCCTTCACAGCATTTTTGTTTTATATACTGTGTAAAATACCACTGGTTCAACAAGCACATAGCTAGCTGAATTTCAGCATCAATATTGTTTTGTTCTGCCCCAGAGACCTACAGCTGTGTGCTCATGTCTGATCCAGATCAAAACTGTATTGGCAGGTGATCCGCTATTACACAAACCTGGTATTAAATTACAAGAAACAGCACAAGTACAAAGCTAACTAAGGCTTTTTTGAGCCATCTTTTCACTATGTCCCTTTTGCTCCTATGAATGAAGTTGCAGCGCATGGTACATCTGTTCATGGAAAGAGGGAGTGCCAATGCCCCTAAGAAGGTGTTTCCTCAACCACCTTTAGGAATGTAACTGAACTGTGTAAGTGAAGAACCTGCTTGGTCTACCTATAGCCTACCTTTTCCTCAGTGGTGAGAAAAAGACTCTCAAAACAACTATTCCTGTCTTAAGTAAGCCCTCAAGAGAAGTCCATTGCCTGTAGGGGGAACTTAGGAAAGTTTCCTTCTGCTAAGTGTTGAAGTTAGGTGGTATGAATATATGCCAAAATATAAAAAGCAGAAAAAATACTGCCCAGCCTTGTTCCTTTGCAGCTGATCTACCTGAAAGACCAGGAGCTCATAGACTTTTTCCTGTATCTTTCTGTTCTCTTACTCTGGACTTACATGCTACACATAAAAATAAGCAAAACCAGTTCTGAGTGAGATGTGCCCTACTAATGGCAATTGTGTCCTTCCAAATAAAAGATGGATACATGATTCTGCTGATCTTCCTGGGCAGCAGTGCAGGGTAGCAGTATTGGTATATGTCAGAGAGTTTGATTTAGAAGCTCATAGCTTTGCCTTAATGGCCTGAATGGCTGCTGCCTGGATAATTTTTTATACTGGTTTATTTCTTTAGCTAATGAAGGAGCAAAGGGCATAGATACATAGAAGTTTGGGTTGATATTACAAATACTGTATATCAAGTCATAATAATCAAGAGGAGAGCAATTTGGGGCTTTTAAATAGAGGAGGCAGGATGCTAAAGACAAAAATCCAGTCCAGTGACAGTTTACCCTTAAAACCTTTACAATTTTAATTTATGGCGTGTCGTGAGCCCCCTTAATTTGCATATCAAATAATATTAAGTAAAATGGTCTTGAAGTCTGTTGGCTCCAGTCTATGTGTTCAGAGAAACAAAAATTCTGCGAGCTGTTACAGAGTTATTCATTCTAACCTATCTCAAAATGATGTCCGAATGCCTTTAACGGCTCGATGCTGAACAGGTGCAATTATAATCATGGCTTTATTTTAGGTTTTCAGAAGATTACCTTACCTGCAGAGATACTGAGTACCTTACTGGGAGGTAATCGGCGCGGTTCGCGGGTCATGCCGCTCTAGCAGCAGCTCCCCTGAGGAGCCTACGGGAAGGATCCCGCGGAGGTAAGAGGCTCTGGCTGGAGCCGTCGCCAGACAGCCGGTGCGGGGCTGCTGTCCCGCACCGCCCGGTCCCACCGTGGCAGGGTCCCCTCATGGCGGCGGGCGGCGGAGGGGAGTGGGGCGGGCACACCGCTCCCGTGCCCACAGGGAGCAGCGCCCGGGGTTGAGAGGGGGAGGGAGGCGGGAGAATTACCCTTTTGCCCTGTTTCGCGGTCTTCCTGATCGGCAGCATCTTCCTTGCCAAGGAACGCTGGCTGCCCACTCTCCCGACGGCTCACCGCGAAGCTCGGCTCTACAGCCCCTCCGGCCGCGCTTTTATAGCCCCGGGAGGGGGCGGGCGCTGCGGGCAGCGCTGGGGGAGACAGCCCCCGCCCGGCCCGGCCCGGCCCCTGACCCCGGAGGGCCCCCTGGCACGGCCGGGTAGTCCCGCTCCTCCCGCCGCCGCCCCCGTCCGGCCCGAGGTCGAGAGGCGCCCGGTGCCCACTCTGGGCTGCCCCTTCGGCCAAGGGGCGGTCCGGCGCCCTCCTCCGGGAGGGCTGGGCTCGGTGGGACAGGGGCGGGACGGGACGGGACGGGACGCCGCGTGGAGCGGCCCGGGGCCAGCGCTCCGCACCCTGGTCGTGTGCGGGATGAGCGCGGTGTTGCGGGGAGCCCTGCGGTGGCTGCGGCCCCCGCGCCGTACCTGCCCCCTCGGCGCGGCAGCCCGGCGGCCCCTCGGCGCCCAGGGGCGGTGAGTGCGGGCGGGGGGCGGGCGGAGGGGCCGGGCGCAGTCGCAGGGTCCGCGCGTGGTTCCGCGCCGGACGAAGCCGCGGCCCCCGGTGATGCCGCTGTCGGGGATGCGCGGGGAAGGCGGTGAGAGGGGCGGGCGCCTGCCACCGGCCTGAAATGCTCTGCCAGCGGCCGGACGGTTCACCTGAGGGCAGGAGGTGCATCTCCCAGCGCCTCGCATTGCTGCGCTAAAGCCAGAACCAACCGGGGTGCGTTGCTGACCTGGTGTAGAGAGATCCCTCCTGTTGTATTCTGGGCCATGCCGATGAGCAAGAACTGACCAGGTTTAACTGGCACGATCAAACATCTGGGTGAAGGTGTACTTCACCGGGAAGGTGCGCCCCGGATCATTGCCGGGCTCTTGGGCACAGGTTTGAAAAAAAACTGAAAATCAGGTGAGAAAATCTCAAATCCACAGCATAAAAGAAGCATGAGAAAAGCCTCTATGCTTGGCCTTGATTAACACGTGCCTCAAAATTCAGTAGAGGATCTGGTGAAAGTGTTTCACATTTAGCTGTTAAACAACTTACCGTTAACTTGCAAAAATTAATATGTAATCATTAAAAAGAACATGTGCAAGTGTGTGGTGCACCAAATACATAAACCTGTGGTGTCCTGTCCTCCGATTTATTCATTACTTGCTAGTGAATAACCATGGCGCACATTCCTCCTGAAACTGCAGTTAAAATGTCATAAGATCTCTATTCATAATGCATAAAACTAGTAGCTTTGTTTTCTCACTGAAAGACTAGTTATACATTAGAAAGTCTGTTGCCAGAGAAGTTGCAAATATACAAGGAGAGATAAAATTGAGTATTGATTAACTGTCCTGAAGGGAGAGATACTGTGGTTTCATATAGTGTGTACTGCTACTATATTAATATGTCTTACCTTGTCTCACACCAAAAAAATAAAGGACTTCTGAAAAATCATGATAAATTTCTGCATTCCACAAGCTTGCTGCTTGGCTGTCTGTGGGTGAGGTAGTAGAGAGGAGGATCAGATGACTTGGAGAAGAGTGGGGCTGCCTATGGTAGCAGTTCTGTTTTATGCTGGCCTAAAGTAGTTGTGAAAATACAGTGTGGTGAGGTAGCAGATGTGAGCCATTGACAAAAACCTGTTTCTATAATGTTTTGTCTTCAGAAAACAAGAACATGTCAAAATAGACAGAATATAAAAATAAAACCTGTGTTTCATTGTTCATGAACACATACACTGTCACAGTCTACTGGCATTGGCTTTAGAAATTTATTAAGGAGCCTTACTAAGGAGACATTTTTAAAGACTTTTTATTGTACATACTATAGCTCTTTCGAAAAGTCAGGTTTTGACACTGTCATTTTGGGGGCCAGTTTGTTGCTGAAAAATAGGATCTACAAAAAAGGTTATTTTGGGTAATAACATAAGTTTTAAAGTTGCAAGTGGAAGCAAGTTTGCTTTGTGTTTTTTTTTTTTTTTTTTTTTTTTTTTTTTTTTTTTTTTTTTTTTTTTTTTTTTTTTTTTTTTTTTTTTTTTTTTTTTTTTTTTTTTTTTTTTTTTTTTTTTTTTTTTTTTTTTTTTTTTTTTTTTTTTTATTATTATTACTACTATTTACATATATGACTCTCCAAGAGTATTTACTTTAAAAGAAGATACAAGTGAACAGGTTAGGGTTTAAGTTAGGTGTGTAAATCGCCAAGCAGACGCTAAGTTTTATTATCATTGAAGCAGTAAACAAAAGAGATGGAAAAGTGCCTTTTTGAAATTCTTCTCTTCTTTCAGGAAAGAAACCTCGTCTTCCTTGGGGAAAGACAGAGCAGACACAGTGATCATTGGAGGTGGTTGTGTTGGTGTGAGTCTGGCCTATCACTTGGCTAAAGCTGGCTTGAAGGATGTTGTTCTGCTAGAAAAATCTGAGCTCACTGCAGGATCTACCTGGCATGCAGTAAGAAATATTTTGTTAATCTCTCAAATTAACAGCAGTTTGTGTGTATAACAGTGTGGAGATTCATTACCTTTTTATTTCCCGGCTTTGTTTCTTGCCATTGCTGACATTACATAAAGTCTTGGGGGAGCAAATGTAACAATTGTACACTGTGGGGTTGAAGAAAAAGAACTACAAGACATACATGTAATAATGTTAGAGTGGGGACTCCTCCTATAATAATGCTAATCACGTGGACATACTGGTGCATAACATGCATTCATGTAATTACATATTTTCTACATCAATATCTGGAATACGTAGTGTAACAAAATTAAATAAAGCTTGCCACAATAATACACTTGAAGAAGGGTGTTAGTGAGTGGATAAATTCAAGACATAGGCTTAACTTCAGTAACACGTCATTCTGCTTTTTTAAGTGCTAAATGAATGCCATTAGATTGATGTGGCCATCTCCATTGTAGGCACGGGAATAGTTTCCTTAAATATAAGAGGCTGTAGTAACCTCTTGGTTTCACCTTTGCATGAACTCAAAAGGGCATGACAGCTTTCTGAAGTTAAACCTCTTAGAGTGATGTACAAAATATATGTAATAATTCTTTACACTACTTCTGGAATGCAGCAATTGCTCTTTAGCTGCCACACAAGACAACTGTGGAGAATAGAAGAATATCAGCTTCCACTGCCCTGCTGTTCACACTCCAGGAAAGTAAGAATTCTTGTGAAGATATGGTCTTTCGGAAGGTTTGGTTTCTCTCCCATCTCCATTTACAGGAAGAAAAGACCTTACTACAGGACATTTAGAGTTCATAATTAGACTTAGTTGTCAGAAATGAAGTTTGTGTGTCCCTTCCAAAAGATTTGAAGCAGTCAGCTCAATAACTTAAGGAAGAGAGGAAACTATAGGAGAGAACAACTGCAAAACTATCATAGGTTGACACATTTGATGAGAAAGGACAGATGGAAAGACACTTGGGCAGAAAACAGTAATGCCTTAAGTAGGGAAAGGATTTTATTTTTATTTTTGCAGCAGTTGGCTGTATCCATGTGTTGTTTTTCTTTATAGTATCTTGACAGTTGGAAGGAAGGAAAGAAAACATTACATTTCTAATTTATGTTGTTATTTTTCCTATTTCTTATTTGAGGCTGGCTTAACTACTTATTTTCATCCTGGAATAAACCTGAAGAAAATCCATGCTTATAGTATCAAGCTCTATGAGAAACTGGAAGATGAGACTGGGCAGGTAATCAACTTAACCTTTAAAGTATTAATTCAAAACAATACTAACTGCAATAATAGTCTTACAAAAAAGTTTGTAGTTGATAAGGGTGTGGAGTGAGAGTGTGTCTCTTTTTATTGAAATAAACTCTTCTGAATGATTAGTCTCTATATATTTTAGTTGGGTTCCCAGATCCCTCTACAGTTTAAGAAAATGGCTTTCATAAAACATCTCATGAGCTCAGCAGACTGAGAGTCTGCAACTTCAGCTTGATAGAGCTAAAATAGCATCAGGTATCTGGAGTGAATGGATTGATTATGATACATTTCTGCTTTAAACATGTCCACTTAAAAATGCATATGATATGATGCTGTCTCTACTTGAGCAAATTGCTGCAATTCTTTCCATCCCTTTCAGAGATGTGGGTTTTTTTAGTGACTTAAGGAATGGATATGCAGGGAAACACAGGTGTCATCCTTTTTGTCTGGTATCACTCAGCCATAAAGATTACATTTACTAAACTCATGCTTGCTTAGGAGACTGCAACAGAAATTGCATGATCCTAACTGTACTAGTCTACAAATTTTGTAGAGGTTTTTTTTTACATTCATCATATTTAATATGACACGTATTTTTTCTATTTGTCCTAAAATACTTTTTTCTTCTTTCTACTACTCAACTAGATAAAATACTACAGCAGATTATCACTGTGAGTTTCAGTAAAAAACTTAATTCAGCTCTGTTATTGTCCTGTGAGGTAACATAGAAAACGTGAAAAAAATAGTGTGTACCAGAAAGTAAGCAGTCAGTGTCTAGCTCTGGATGTTTACTTTATTAAGAAGGCAGAAAAGGTGAGTGGTTATTCAATGAGTCAGTAAAGGTGCTTAGTTAGTTAAATACATTCTGCAGCATTCCAGTAGAAAATTACGTGGATGATAGACTTCAATAAAAGCTGTTATACATACTTATTTTTGAGACATACCTGATTGAATTTTTGAAAGTTTGTGAGTGCATACATCAAGTATTAATCAAATCTTAAAAAAACCAAAGGTATCATGACATTCAATAAATTCTTTGTGCAACTGTCTTGAAGATAGTATGCATTAACCTAGGAAATTATTTGATAACCTCTTGAAAAATTATTTTCTCTAGGAGTTTATATCTAAGCCCTGTTCCTTCAGGAGCCCCTAACTTACTTGAATTTTCTTTCAGTGATGTTAGTGGCAAAATTCCTATCAGACTTCCCATAGCATAGAAACATGCATATACGGCGATCAGTAAAGGTTCTTTCAGTAATTCACTATTTCTCTTTCGTTTAGTCTGTGGGGTTTCATCAGCCTGGAAGTATCAGAATTGCTTCAACCCCTACTAGGGTGGATGAATTCAAATACCAAATGACTCGG